CGGAATATAAGGGATACTTCCCCAAAATCCATCTAAAATCCATCCAACTTCCGTGTCTGATGGCTTTACCGATTTTAAAACACGTTGCAGCATCAGCTCGCTGCCAGTTCTGGGGATGACCTTGCCGTGGTTTATCTGATCAGGTAGCCCCTGGTAGCCCTAAAATCCCTAAAACCTAGTGGTTGATCACAGTTCTCCGTACCTGGCATGATCCCCACCATTTTGATCGGTGAAATCTCTGGGTGCCTTGAAGGGTTCTACATCCCTATCGTTGTCGGAGTAAGAATCCTGGGTTTTCATGGGTTTCCTGTATTGTTCTTGGCTTCCGATGGGATGAGGATACTACTACAAAGGGCTACTGATCATGAGCGGCAAGAAGGTCTTTCGGAACTACATGCGAACGCCACCGGGCTGAGACCGGGGGCGATGGGGGTCCCATCTGTCAGGTGTTTTTTTTTGTTGCTTCGGCGGCTTGCTGTTCTTTGATGATATGGGTGTGTCTGAAAATGGTGTACACTTGTACACTCCCAAACAGCCATTTGAATCGAGAACATGATGATATGTTTTTTAAACATATATATTATATATTGGATATGTTGTTTCCACTCACGAAACAACTTGGTGCTTCTTCACATCAAACGATTCGCCTTCTATTTCCAGCACTTCCCAGATCCATCGCTAGGACGCTCCTTTCGCTTCAGGTGGATGCCGCTGGATGTGACCTTGGTATCACTGGATTGGATCTTTGTCATTATGGAAGTCGCTGGAGTGGCTTCAATTGGCTCAGAGCCTTGGCGATGAAACCACCGTTCCCACGGTCGCACATGGCCATATATATATATGCATATATATATATATTTACTGATCAGATATGTGTACAGTGTAGACTATGTCACATGTAGCATATATGTTTGTATATGTGCTGCAGCCATTTTAGTGCTTTCAGCTACCTTCGAGCTGACTGAGTGAAAAGGTGCTGATCAGTGCTCAGGAGTGTTCATCAGATTTAAGAGCCCAAATTCTCTGTTCATGGTAGCGGAGCTGAGGTTCTGATATCCAGCTGTGAATGTGTAGGTGTCAACGCCGAGCTGTCTCTGCTCTGGCGCACTCACCTCGTGCCAACTGGAAAAGGTTGACACTCAAGCTCCTGAAAATCAGGAAACTCCAAAGGTACTTCCATAACCTGGGAGTGCATCTCCAACAGTATCCAAGGGTTCTCTTGAACCAGGTCTCTAAGCACCTGAAGAACGACTAAGGATGGCTCAGCAACAGCAGCCACCTCAGCAACCAGGCACTCCACCGGCACCACCACAAGCACAAGGCAACGGTCCCAACATGTCCCAGATGATCATGCAGATGATGGCCCAATTGACTCAGGGTCAGGCGCAGTTGAATCAGGCAATGACTGAGGCTATGAGCCAGCAGCTTCAGATCAACAAAAATGTTGAGAGGTCTGTTGAGTACAAAGACAGATCAGAGTTGAAAGGCATACCCAAACCTGATAAGTTCACTGGAGCATCAGGCACTTGGGATAGTTGGTGGTACAAGTTTAAGACATGGGTTGAAAGTTGCCACAAGAATGCTGTGAAGATTGTGGCACAAGTTGAATCTCAGTGTGACAAAGAGATCACTGAGTCAAGTCTAGAAGTAGACTTTGATGAAGGCGCCGAGCTAGTTTCAGCTCAGGCTAGACAAGCCCTCATATCATTGACTGAGGGAGAAGCGTTGGAAATTGTCAAGAACACATCTCGTGGTAGCCACTTTGGCCTAGAAGCCATGAGACAACTGTTGTGCAAATATGATCCTCAAAATCCTCAAGCCAATTCAGCCTTGTTGAAAAAGGTTCTGCATCCAAGTCAATGCAGTCTTGATAAGCTTCGAGAAGGGCTTGAGAGTTGGGAGAACTTGAAAAGAAAGTACGAAGACAGGAGAAAGAAACCACTTGAAGATGACATCTGCAGGAGTTGCTTGCAGCAGATGTGTCCCAACAAGTTGCAAGATCATTTGGACTTGCAGGCTTCGAGATTGACCACGTATGACCAGGTGAAAGCTGAAGTTTTGGCCTACCTTGAGAACGTCGAGACCAGGAAAGAAGCAAAGTCAGGAGCTGTTCCCATGGATGTGGATTCCCTTGCTAAGGGTAAGGGAAAAGGAAAACATGATAAAGGGAAAGGCAAAGGTAAGTCCAAAGGTAAAGACAAAGGAAAGAGTCAGTCTTCGTCTTGGTCAAACAATTCATACAACAAGTCTTGGAACAATCAGTCTTGGAACAATCAATCTTGGAATCAGCAGTCTTGGTCTAAACAGAATACCAATGACTCCAAGAGCAAAGGCAAAGGTAAGAAAGGTCAAGACAAAGGTAAAGGAAAAGGGGATCAAGGCAAAGGTCGTAAAGTTGCTAATGTTGAGTCTGACACTTGGGCTCAAGAGCAACAACCTGCAGCCTCATCTGGTGATCAACCTGAACCAGAGATCACTGCGCTGTTTGCCTTGGAAGACACTATGCCACCCAAGTCTGAAGCTCGAGATGAATCTTCTCGTCGTGGTCGAAGCCCAAGACGAGCAAACCTTCAAGCACCTTCAAGGAGCACTGTGACCAGGAGCGCTATCGTCATGGCTCAGAGCGCTTTGGCATCAGCTTCTGGGTCTAACAAGGAGCTGTTTGGCAAGATGATTGCTCAGGCTGAGAGCGCTGTCAAAGAAGCTCAGGACAAAGGGCGTCAAGCAAATCAAGCTCTTAAGGAACGCCAAGAAGCCCTGGACAAGTTGAAGAAAGAGGCAGCCCAGCATCACAAAGAGGCCAAAGAGGCAATGGCCAAAGTGAGGGCAGAAGGCCGTGCTGCTTCAGCACCGGCTGCACCCTCTCGTCGGATGCAAGCCGACCTTGATGCTGGAGTACATCCAAGAGCTGCCAAGAAGAAGGAGAAGGACAGGCAGAGAGCTGCCAGTCATCGAGCAGCCACTGCTGGACAAAGAGCATCCAGCTTCAAGCGCTATGAGTTGGCCACCTTTGGACAGGCCGACCCTGACAAGTGGGACAAGGATGACATGGGAGATCTTCCTGAACCTCCCAAAGCAAGAAAGCTGGAACCTAAGCGCCACAGAGGAGGACGTCATTGGTCTGACAGACGTAGAGCAGATGAAGCAAGGAAGAAGGCCAATAAGGAGAAGATGAAAGAGATGAGCAAGGATGAGATCCCACAATGGATCCATGACAAGTGTGAGATTTCCTCTGAGGAGTGCATTTCCTCTGAAGGATATGAGTTTGTCAGCAGACTTGAAAAGCTGAAAACCGATCCTGAAGTCCTCAGCAAGTTGGACAACGTCTTGAAGGAAGCCTACGAGAAAGCCTATGGTGAAGTTCTTGACCTAGGATCTTCTGATGAGACAGATCCAGACGATGTGCCCTACAGCCAGGAGCCAGCACCAGGCATGGAGGATGTGGTCGAGCATTGGCAGAATTCCTTTCGAAGACCCATTCCATTCAAGGCGTTGCATGAGAAGTGCAAAACTGTCTCCAACAAAGGGTATCCCTATGTGAAGTGCCAGTCATGTGGAAAGGCACTCAACTCCATGAGCGTTGCAAGCTTTTGGCAACATGTGGAGAACAAGCAATGCTATCCTCAGTATGCCCTGGAGTTTTGGAAGAAAGAACATCGTCAGGTAAAGGCAGAGAGAGAGGCACGAGAAGAAGGAGAATCATCCCAGAAGCGCCCCATGGATGATGCAGAAGCCAAAGATGAGAAGAGGCGCCAAGAGATTGCCAAGGATGAAGAAAGGAAGAAGCGCAAGCAAAGCTTTGAGGAGCACTACGAGCGCTTCAGGCACAAGGGCAAAGATGAAGTGAAGCCCGAGGTGAAGAAGATCCCCAAGAGGCCAGGGGAGAAAGAGAAGGTCGAGGAGAAAGAGAAAGAAGAAAAGAAAGAAGAAGAAGAGGCACCCAGAGCACCCATCGAGCTGAAGTCCAAATCCCCATCGAGAGCGCCTGAGGACAGCCGGGCTGATTCAGCCCAGGCGTCCAAGGGCAGGGGAAAGTTCAGCATGGGCACCAAGAGATTCCTGGAGAAGACGGTGCGTGATGCAGCTAACTACATGGAAAGAAAAGCCAGGAAGAAGAGGGAGAAAACGCCATCTCCCAAGCCCAGGAAGCATTCACCAAGAGGAGGAGTTCGATCTGATTCCAACCTCGACTTCCTGGGAAGTTTGGCATCTCAGGTGGATACCATTGTCTGGGCCACCGTTGACTCAGGGGCAGCAACCAGTTGCCTACCCAAGGAATTGGCACAGTCATTGGAGTTGGCTATGACACCTGTGGATGAGAAGCCGTTCACCAACGCATCAGGGCAGCCAGTCCAGGTGCATGGGGTGTGCAACCCTATAGTGACCATGGGTGAGAAAGGAGGCCCACAAGTCAAAGGTGTGGGACAGTTCCGGGCAATGGATGTTGCAAAGCCATTGTTGTCTGTGTCCAAGCTGGTTGAGAAAGGCTGGACAGTAACCTTCGGCCCCAATGGATCGTTTCTGCAAAGGGGAGCCAAGAAGGTTCCAGTCACCATGACTGGAGGTGTTTTCAAGATAGCCATGGATTTTCATGGGCAGCCCACAGAAGGGTTGAAGGCGTAAGTCCTGTGGAGACCACAGAGAGCGCAGGTAGTGGAGATGATGAACCGGGCAGTAGTAAGCTAGGTTCTCAAGCGCTACCAACTGCAGCAGCGCCGACGCAGAGAGAAAAAGAAGAGCATTTTGTCAGCCATTATCCTTTTAGGAGTTGGTGTGAACATTGCATTCGAGGTAAGGCAAAGGCAATGAGACATGTCAAAGTAGATCATTCAGATGAAACAGTTCCTGTGATCTCAGCTGACTATTGTTTCATGAATTCAGTGGATGACACTGTCATCACCGAAGAAGTGCAGAAAAAGCATGCACCAGTTTTGATAGTACATGATCGATGGTCCAAGTTGACCTACGCACACGTTTTGCCATACAAGGGAGTTACCCAAGGTCCTATTGGATCTAAGTGTCTTTTGAATGACCTTAAGAAGTTTGGGTACCCCAAGATGGTCATGAGGTATGACCCAGAGCCTGCACTCAACTCCGTAGTTGAGGCAGCCAAGAATGGTTTTGACAAACAGTTGGTTTTGGAAAAAGTTCCCAAAGGAGTCTCAGAATCCAAAGGGGAAATTGAAAGAGCAGTTCAAGCTATTGAATCTCAATCCAGGACACTCAGAAGTGCCTTGGAGACAAGCTATGGAAGAAAGGTGCCAGACGACCACCCAGTTTTGACATGGTTGGTTGAACATGCTAGCACCACTTACAATTTGTTTCACAGATCATTGGAAGTCAAAGATGGGAAGACACCGTACTCTAGACACCGTGGTCGTGAGTGGAGAGTGTCATTACCACCATTTGGGGAAACAATTGAATTCCTCAAAAGAGGTCACAAGTTTGAACAAAGATGGCACCAAGGAGTTTTCTTGGGAGTCAAAGACAATACCACTGAAAAGATAGTGGGGAATGCATCAGGTGTTTTCACTGTGCAAAGCATTCGACGCAAGAGTGCTGACGACAGATATGATGTCGAAACGTTGATGTCAGTCACTGGGGTTCCTTGGGATCCCCAGGCATCAAAAAGAGATGACATTTTGCTTCCTCAGATTGTTGAGGGAGATCAGCAGCCACTGGCGCCATCAGTGCCAGTTGAGCCACCAAAGAAGTCGACAAGACGACTTTACATCACCAAACGTGATTTGGACAAGTATGGCTACACCGCTGGTTGTGTCGCCTGTGATGCCACTAGAATTGGCAAAAGAGGCACTGGAGTTCATCACACTCCAGCCTGCAGAGAAAGGATGGAACGTCTGCTTCAAGCAGAAGAGGGCAACCTGAGAGTAGCCCAACATACGGCCAAGGTTGATTCTGAAATCACTGGTCAGAAACAAGAAGTGTCCGAAGAAGGCACAAAGATTCTTTATGGGTATTCAAGTGAGAAACCACAAGAAGTTCCTCACGGTTTTAAGGTGTTTGCGCGCCTTGACAAGAATGCAAGGTATCTCAAGGGTACTATGCCAGAAGGTCCCAGTTGGGATAATGTCTGGTGGAGAGTCACCAGAGATTTCAAAACAGGAAACATTATCAAGTCTGAACCAATGGATCCTAGTTTAGGAGATGAAGTCATCAACGCGCCTTTGATTGATGACGCAGATATCGTCACTGAACTGTGGTACTCAGCCACAGGGGAATCTGCTCCAAGTTTGCCAACAGCTGGACCTGCTATCGCGAGGCAGAGTCCTGCTACCGGACAAGCTGCAGATCCACCTGCAGAAAGCGCAAGCGCAAGCACAGCCTCAGCCAAGAGGGCAGGAGGCGAGCAAGAAGAAAGAGCACACAAAAGGTTGGAAATGTCTCCAACCAAAGGTCGGAAAAGACCTGCAGACTCAGGAGGCGAAACGTCAAAGTCCAAGGACAGCCGAGCTGCTTCAGCTCAGGCGTCTAAGGGCACCAAACGGCCACCTGAGAATGAGAGACCAGAAGACATGGATGACATAGACCAATGTCTTATGAACCTGATCATGGAAGATCGGGAGAAGTACCTTCAGTCCATTGAAGGTGAAGAAGAGCCAGTTTGTGAAGAGACAATTCCTCTTCCACCAGAACTGGAAGATGAAGCAGCCACATGGTATTATTACGATGATATCAGTGGAAAGATTTTAGACAGCAAAGGTGTAGAACAAGCCAGAAAAGATGAGGTCGAAATCATCGAAAGTTTTCCAGTTTGGGAAAAGATTCCCAGACACAAGATGCCCAAAGGGGTACGCACCATTGGAACACGATGGGTAGATGTCAACAAGCAGGATGAAGAGAATCCACTTTATAGAAGTAGGTTAGTAGCTCAAGAAGTCAAGAAGGGCTCAGGTTTTGATGAGTTCTTCGCAGCTATGCCCAGTTTGTCGGCTTTGAAGATGCTAGTTACAATAGCCGTCACGTTTCAGTTGCCAGACGCTGGAAAAGCTGTCAAGGAAGCCTATCGCAAGCGTAGACTTCTAGGATTTTTGGATGTGAAACGCGCCCACTTTTACTCAGATGCGACGCGTGAGATCTATGTGGAACTTCCTGCAGAAGCAAAGAAGCCTGGAGAAGATGTGGTAGGAAGATTGCTCAAGTCTTTGTATGGAACCAGAGACGCACCTCTCAACTGGGAGTTGCAAATACAGAAGGTTATGTTAGCCTTAGGTTTCAAGCAAGGAAAAAGCAATCCATGCATTTACTACCATGCAGGCCGAGACCTCAGAACTGTTGTACATGGAGATGATTTTACAACAGCCGGAACATTTGACAACATCAAATGGCTTCATGAAGAGCTGTCGAAGAAGTGGAAATGTGTGGAACGTGGTATTTTAGGACCACCAGGAACACCAAACACCATCCAGGACATCAGAGTCCTGAACAGAATTATCACATGGAAGGAGAATGGAATTTGGTGGGAACCAGATGCACGTCATGCAGAGTTGGTGATTGATTTACTCGGAGATGGTCCCCGAGGAGCCAAAGTCAAGACACCACTTGCCAAGGGTTCAGTGGAAGACCTCAAGAACGCCACTGTTTTTCTCAATGATGAAGAAGCAACCCAGTACAGATCAGTTGCAATGCGAGCAGCTTATTTGGCACAAGATCGACCAGATCTGCAAGTAGCGACAAGATCTTTAGCACAAGGGCTACAACGACCAACTACCAGCCACATGCTTATGCTCAAACGAGTTGCACGATACCTAAGGTATCGACCACGCATGGCACAATTCTTTCCTCATCAGAGCAAACTCAGTCCATTTGTGATGTGGTCTGATGCTGACCACGCTGGTTGCGTGAAGACGAGGAAGAGCGTGTCAGGAGGCGTCCTGATGGCCGGAGGTTGTTGTATCAAGACTTACTCTAAAGGACAAGGAGTAGTCAGTCTTTCGTCTGGAGAGAGTGAGTATTACGCTCTTGTGAGCGGTGCCAGCAATTTGCTGGGAGAAGTTTCAACCGCCAAAGACTGGGGTTTGCAACCCGAGAGTGAAGTTTTCATGGACGCAAGTGCAGGAATAGCAATGGGTTCTCGCAGAGGACTAGGCAAGGCCAAGCACGTGGATACTCAATACCATTGGGTACAAGACCGCGTTGCCAAGCGCTATTTTCGGCTGAAGAAGGTCGACACTGGCGATATGCTTGCCGACGTCTTGACGAAACCTGTCATAGAAGAGAAAATGAATAAAGCCTTGCGAAATATGAATTTTCACTTTCTGGAAGGTGAGCATCACCTGACACTGAGAGCATAGATGGCTTGAGCGTGGCTATGAGTAGCTGTACATATCAAAACTCGCCTAGTTCAAATAATTGGACGGGAGCGCCGTTTTTAAACAGGCTCGGGAGGCGTGATCAGATATGTGTACAGTGTAGACTATGTCACATGTAGCATATATGTTTGTATATGTGCTGCAGCCATTTTAGTGCTTTCAGCTACCTTCGAGCTGACTGAGTGAAAAGGTGCTGATCAGTGCTCAGGAGTGTTCATCAGATTTAAGAGCCCAAATTCTCTGTTCATTTACAGGTTCTCAGGTATTGTATAAGATATAGTGGAACATCTTAACAATACTATTTTGTCTACAGGTTCCCAGATTTTGCAATGTATTTGATATAATTAGTGGATTTTCCTGTGTATATGTATATATGTATGTATGTATGTAACGTAATGTAATGTAATGTAATGCAATGCAATGTAATGTAATGTAATGCAATGTAATGTAATGTAATGTATGTATGTATGCATGCATGTATGTATGTATGTATGTATGTATGTATGTAATGTATGTAATGTAATGTAGTGCAATGTAATGTAATGTAATGTAATGTAAGTTTGTATGTAATGTAATGTAATGTATTGTATTGTATTGTATTGTATTGTAATGTATGTATGTAATGTATGTAATGTATGTAATGTATGTAATGTATGTAATGTATGTAATGTATGTAATGTATGTAATGTATGTAATGTATGTAATGTATGTAATGTATGTAATGTATGTAATGTATGCAATGTATGTAATGTATGTAATGTATGTAATGTATGTAATGTATGTAATGTATGTAATGTATGTAATGTATGTAATAAATGTAAATGTAATGTATGTAATGTATGTAATGTATGTAATGTATGTAATGTATGTAATGTATGTAATGTATGTAATGTATGTAATGTATGTAATGCATGTAATGTATGTAATGTATGTAGTGTATGTAGTGTATGTAATGAATGTAATGTATGTAATGTATGTAGTGCATGTAATGTATGTAATGTATGTAATGTATGTATGTAATGTAATGTAATGTAATGTAATGTAATGTAATGTAATGTAATGTAATGTATGTATTCATGTATTTATGTATGTATGTATGTATGTATGTATGTATGTATGTATGTATGTATGTATGTATGTATGTATGTATGTAATGTATGTAGTGTATGTAGTGTATGTATGTATGTAATGTAATGTAATGTATTGTAATGTAATGTAATGTAATGTAATATTATGTATGTATGTATGTTATGTATGTTGTGTATGTTATGTATGTTATGCATGGTATGGTATGGTATGGTATGGTATGGTATGGTATGGTATGGTATGGTATGTATGTATATATATATTTATTAGTCGCAGATGTTCAATTGCATAAATGCTGATCTGATATGACTCTTCAGAAAATATCTCAGGTGGCACAGCTCTCACGGACCATCCGCTTCTTGCGCTTCTTGAGGCTGGTTTTTGTAAACGTGTGGAGGGGCTCCAATTCGGTGCAGTTTCTTAGGATAGGTAAGTGGTGATTAAACCGGCAATCGAACCAAGAAACATTGGGATTTTATACTTACTGTAGCTAAGCTTGCTTTCAACCAGATTAGGTTTTGTGGTAGATATAGATAGTCAAAGGGGTTTATAAACCAACAAACCTAGGATCCAAAGTTGGCGGGCAACCACCAGTGGTAGGTAGGTACCCACAAAAAAAGGGATGGTTGATGGTTGGCGATGACGAAAAGGAAGCAACATCTGTGAGGTCCTGTGGACATCTCTGGACCTTCAACCTGACTGAAGTGCATCAAAAGTTGACTGATAGGTTAAGAGATGTCAAGAGTCAAACAAAAGTCATCGCTCCGTGCACGCCGTGCAGGTTGGTTCGAATTCTGCGCTGGGTGAAGCTACGCCGAATGGCTGACACTTGTCGGGATCACAGAAATTGGGTCTCCAGACCAGAAATTGGGTACCCCAAAATGTTGATTTTTTTAAATTGTGTACCTAAACTAGAAATTGGGTACCTAACAATCACTAAATTGTGTTTTTTTTTCCATGTTGATTAGTGATTGTGTCTAGTCCAAGCTTGGTTTCTGCCATTTTGAACCCCCAAAGCCGACAACAACGTATTTTGATTGATTGTCTACTGTAAGTTTGGTGACTTCCGCAAGACATATATAGGATGAGAGAGAGAGAGTGACTTTGTCACCCAGCCGTAGCGAGGCATCACTCCACTATACAGGATTTGAATTTGGTGGCTTTAGGAATTTGATGAATCGGGCCTGATTGATTCAGATTACTTATCCTACTGTGTATATGTATATGTGTCATGTGTTTATTATATATAGACTGTACATGATTATATAGTATATACTACATAGTATGTATAGTATATAGTCATATAGAGTGTTTGTGGTGGTTTGTTGCCAATGTGTGAAAAACTCAAAACTCTCAGGACTTGGGTCAATGATAAGCTGTGGTTAGTTTAATCATGTGGTGCCAAAAAATCCACTACTTCATTATCCTTTTGCCATTAAGACTGCCACAAATGAGGTGCAACACACTTCTAGACACACCCAAAGAAGAAAATCGACGCCCCCCTAGCACTTATGATTCGATTTATCACCCATTCAGAAGAGACACCTATAGCAATCAAGTCTAATTCAATTAAGACTTTATAAGCTGATTGGTGGTTTGGAACATTTCTTTGTTTTCCATATATTGGGAATAAAATCTCCCAACTGACATATTTTTCAGAGGGGTAGGTCAACCACCAACCAGTAAGTATAGCCTCAACCGCAACATTTCACGGTCGGATTTCTAAGCCGCCTTTGCTCGTTTGGGGATTTTGTTCAAAAGTCCCGCCTTTTCGCCAGGAAATGTTCCAAGAGCTGGTTCAGTCACAATCTGCCGGTACCTGGCATTCCAAAGCATGCAATTGGTAAACGTGTTTTTTTGATAAAAAACAAATTATCTTATGTGTTGACTATATGTTTGTTTTATGTTGATTATATGAATATGTTTGCTATATATATATATTGATGATATGTTTGTTATATGATGATTAGATGTTGAGTATTTCTTGATTACATGTGCATGTATATATTATGTGTATACTATATTATGTACGTACATTAATAGTAATGATTATTAATAATAATAGTAATAACATTAATAATAATACTGTAATAATAATAATGATAATAATAATAAAACAAATAATAAATAAATATATATATAATTATATATACATATTATGTATCTGTTTACAGAATGAGTGCTATATATATATATAATACTAGTATATATATATAATTACTCAGTATACTCCATTGGATTGCACATCACTCACTATTCTGTAGAAAGAAACACCTTGTCCATTCAATGGATTTGTGGTGGCATAGTGGGATACTATATCCATTCAATATTGATGGTCTCGAACCCGTGATGTGTAAAAACCCAGTGATTTTCATTCCGTCATCCCCACCAGTTGTTATTTGGAATTCCACCATGAAAGGATGTGAAATGACCACAGATTTACAGCAACGTGTCAGGTGGGTTTTCCTACACCATGTTCCATACCCGCGACCAGTTTCCAATATTCCAAAGCCTGGCTTGGCCAGAGCAAATTCATGGACCCTAGCCACGTTGTTTCATGACGCTTGATGATGCTGGATGGCAAAGGCACAGAGATTCCGGAAGACTGAAACGGTACCCGGTAGCCCTGCAGACATCGCAGCAATGATGTCCGCGTCCAGAGATGTGCACTGATAGGATAGGTGAGACATGGTGAGACCTCACTCTCCAAGTTGCTCTCTAAAGTCAACTAGCAGTTGGCCACATACCTGGAGATGCATCAGAGAGCAATACACAACTGGCTAGGTGAAGGTCAGCAATTTCTTTCCATTACGTCACTACGAAATTTCTTTGGAACATTTTTGGACCTTTACTTTGTTGAACATTTTTGGAACGTCTATGAACATTCTTTCAGGATAGGAAGAGTCTTCCATGACCATATGACCATCCGCCTCCAAGGCGTGGTCTTCAGTTTAGTCTTCGGAATCGCCCGCTTGCTGATCCTGAATCATCTGGTTGGATGCGCCTGGCATCTTGGACGGTTAAGGTCTACCGTTATACCGTTTTTTTGTTGGACAAACCAATGTGATCTTGTCCAAGTCTGGTATGTGTTGAGCGGAATGGTCCAGAAAGATTGTGACAACAATTCTGGGACTGAACATATTGTATCATGGTGCTCCTTACCACGGCTTTTCATGTCAAAAACATGACGAAACTCAGGTTTGGCCTAAGCCGAATCCAGGGAGATGACAACTGGGTCAGAAGCAATAACTTGGAGGACTCCGAATGCTGCGAATGCGGGGGCAGGCTGTGGAACTCTGGGAGTTTAGCATGGACAAAGCTGCATCTTTTAGGAGGAACCAGCCACCTGGGTCTTAACACCGCTGATGTTGTGTCAACTCTTTGGTAGTGTGTTTTTTTCGAAAGTGGACGCATGTTGGATGATTGGATGTAGACATGTCTTTATCATTTTTCTAAAGCCTGTTTTTTCGTCAACTGGATCTCGGATCACCTACAGTGCTGCAGGTTGTAGCATTAGCAGAGGCACAACCTTCTCTTTCTATTGTTTTCCCTTGGCGTGTCCTTGTAGAAAGTTATTTGTGGTTGCCCCTGCCAACTTAGCAGTTGCGTCAGTCAGCCTAGGTTCTGAATCAGATTTCTGAGAATACACCAGTTTCTGAATCAGTCAAACCTAGCAAATTTTGATTATATCCAATTTCCTGAAAATCCAACCCTAACACTGAAGCCGAGGACGAAAGTCCCCTGCACAAATATTTGACTTGTATGACACTCGGCACTCGGAACGGGCCTGTTGAGCGAAGGCATGGGAAGGCCATGATCAAGAAATTATTCAAAAAAGTTTCAAAGAATGGAAAAGCAAAGAGCTGTACTAACTTGTTATTCTGTAAACGCAAACAACTATCTAAAAAATCTAACACATTCCAAAACTGTTTTAGTCGGTAGAATCATTTGGCGGGGCTATACGGCAAATGCATTTCCGAGGTTATCAAATGCTATCAACATGGAAGTCCAAGATTTGTTCTTCATCTAAATATAGATTGCTGGATCAGCAATGTTTCCTTTTGAACTAGTTATATACTATATAGTATAGTTTCTTAGGGCTGTGCTCAGTCGAGATGCTCCGCAGACCCTTGCAACATCGCGAATTGCAACTGCGTCTCCACTTGAAAACCAACATCAACTATTCAACAATGATCATTTGCAATTTGCAATATGGCAATATATATACATATATATAGTATATATATAGTATATATGCTGTGTTTTCAGTATTTTCCAGTGCGTTTCTTCCGGATGTCACATGATGTCAACAACAAACATCCACCAGCATCCAGAAGATTTGGTTCATCCAGGAACTGGGCCTTTGCCCAGTTGGGTGTCGGCTTATCGGATATTACTCCGGCCACGACGCTGGAGACCTTCTTTTCGGTCATCATTGCCTTCAGGCGGGCGACGGACTTTTTCAGTGGACTGACTGATGGATCTTATGGTGGACTCATATGGTGGCTGTTTTTTTATGACATGGGAATGACATGGGAATTTTCCACATTCTCTTTTCATGATTGGTCTAGTAAAGTATATCCCTTATATATAGTATATCCCTATATCCCTATATCCAGGGTGATGTTTTTCTTATTCCGAAATTCCCTCCGACATCGACATCGTGACATCGCCATGAAGACCCAGTGATGATCCCCCATTCCCAGCGAGGTCTTTGATTACCTGCACCACATTGATCAGTCGGATGACCTCGCTGATGACCGCATTGATCAAGACCAAAGAAGACGAGGACGGACTGAAGCGATGCTCAAGTGCTAAGGGGTCTGCACATGTTCCACAATCTATTGCAATGTAGAATCTAAACGGAAGATTTTCCAGGCAACTACACTCTTAGTAATCATGGGCGTTGCCCACATTTGGTGGTCAAATAGCTTCATTTGGCGCAGCTGCGGCCGAAAATCAGGAGAAGGAGTTCCGTTTACTTCGCAGCTACTTAATCTACAACGAGATTCCGCACAGCTTGGGACAAAAAGTGACTCGAGACGCGGCTTCTTTGTCGGTCCCGGGCAGAGTTCACCTGTGGACCAAAAGGTGGGATGTTCACCACTAGCAATAAGGGGCTGATGATTTGAATGACATTTGAATGATGCGCATGCAAAATAATTGATAAATAAATTCAATGTTTAGCAGAGTATCAGGACCTCGATCAATATTCAAGCAATGTCAATTGAGTCAACACGCTTTACCTTCATATCTTCGTGATCTTTGGGATTCTTGAACGTGTCTTCAAGTGATTATCATGTTCTGTCAATGTTTCAAAGCTATTGGCGATGTAGTGGGTGACTTCAGCCATCCGTGTCTCTGAAAAAAATATTAGTTGATGTGTAGAGCCTGTCAAACTGAAAAAGGCAGTCAGGTGTGATACTGTGTGTATATATATATATATATGTATATACATGTATATATATATATGTATACATACATACTTTGCTTCGTCAACACAAACGTTTTGTTGTAGCCCATTCCAGCATGCACTGAACCCAGACTGCGTATATATATATAATATATAGATTTATATATTGATATAGTCAATGGTGGGAATCCAAGAAAAGATACAACATTACCGGTTTTGTTCCAAAAGATTGGTAATATTTGCTTGTTAGTTTGCTTTGGTGAGAGGGCCTCTCCCGTGGATTGACCCGTTCCTCAACACTCAGGATTCCTTCAGCATCAGTTCAACCTTCGAGTGCAAGCAAAATCTGCAGATGTACACGTGCCATTGCTGGAATCTTGGATTACAGGATGCTCCAGGAAAAAATCTATGGCCATCGTCAAAAGTAAGCTAGTTTCTGAGTCTTGCTTGTGATCAGCTTATATGCCATGTTTTTTTCCTTGTATACATCTCGTCAGAAATCCCATGTCTAGGCTACCCAGCACTTCCTGATCGAATCTGATTGTTTCCTTGGAACTCACAAGTTTGACAACAGACTGATGTCAAGATCCAGTGGTGTTGTGTTGCTATTCTGACATTGACATGTTTGTAATGAGCAGAACCTCGCTACTCACTTTTCTATCCATGAGAGTAGACTCCCTCCAGTGTGACAACGCTAATAAATTAGGCCATGAAATATCAGGTTCACATGGTACACCCTTGGTCTAGACCATGCTAGTTGACCTTTCACAACTCACCATGACAAACTGTTGATTTTCCAGGGCAGTTGTTTTTTTTCATCCCTGGCGTAGCCGCTGAGGACTTGCTGTCGCATCGACTGCAAGGTGAATTGCAGTTTGCCAGGCATCAGAAATCACTGTACCAGTTGGAATTTTTGGAGTCTTGGCTGATTGGAGCCTGGTAGGCCCATAGTTTCCATAGGGTACTACTGATGACATCCCATGACTATGGATGGTTTATAAATGTTTATAATGGAAAATCCATCTATAAATATGGATGATGAAAAATGGAGCTTATTTGAGATGGACCATGATGGACCACCTCTGCGCCCTTTGCAGTCGGCAGTCTGGCCTGAATTCATCAGATGTCAAATTCTGGGTGACAGTGGATATACCCCAAAAGTTTCGATTCAAAGATCCCCTAGGCACCAGAAGGGCCTTCTCTCTGTTCCCAAAGTTACGATCATGAAACCTGCTTTGGACTGCCCGAAATGTGTGTGTGTGTGAAATCCGCTATCACTCATGCGGACCTGAGTTTCTGTTAACAAGTTGATTCAAACAATCCATCAGATGCAGGGGCTTGCAGCACCTTTGGCATACTGCACGCAACGAAGCTATTGCCATTGGTGGGAAGGGGAGACTGATCACCTCCCTGTACCTGCAGAAGTTGGTTTTGAACTGTTGAACAAGCTGTCCATTTTCATGCGTATATGTTGCTAATTTGAGATTATCTCAGAAATCAGAGTTTCCCACTGCTTTCCCTACTCGACTGACCAGGATTTTGGACCTAGGAACCCTCAAGGCATGAACTACTTCATCACTATAAAGTTCCTCATTCGAGTAATGTTACTCAGTAACATGCTCCCATCAGCAGTGTGTAACGGGCACAGTGTCACTGACTTGTGACTGCCGTCCGCGTGTTTGGTGACACGCGTTGAATCGGTACCGGCCTTCCGGAAGAATAGTGGGGTACTGCAATACCTCGAAATCTGACGGGTATTAATTCCCGTGTGAATTGGCTTCAGGCCGAAATACATGAATCAAATACAATGCAAGATTTCACAAGATTTGGAATACGTCACAAGACAGCAGCAAGCCGTATGGCTGGAATTCTGAAAGACAGACACGAATTTATTACATTCTACACGTTCGGGCAACTCAGATCTGTTCTGTCATCATTTAGTTCTTTTGTTTTTCACCTTTCCTCTGTATCTGTTTGAGCCATGTCGAAATCTGATATTCCAGCTGCAGTACCAAAGTCGCGATGTCCACCTAGTCCTACTCCTCCACCATCCTGGATCACACCTGTAAGTCGCCAAAGTCGTCCTACAGTTCTTGAATTTACAGGACAATGCGGACAATATCGAATTGAAGGATCCAACATTCAAGAGACACGGGACTTACTCCAGACTGTTCTTCATACGGAGTCTCAACATGTTCAACATGTTCAACACATGCAGTTTCAACAAATGTTGACTTTGTCACAAAATATGATGTTCTCCAATGCTCTTGGCATTCAACCCAGCTCATTTCGTGCACCAATTGTTGATCGTGATGATCGAATGGACGGATCGAACGTAGTTTCTGGATTGGGCTCTCATTCTGCACTGCCCTCAGACACTGTGGAACGTCAGAACCGTAGCTCTCAAGTTGCACTGCCCTTAGTCACTGATGATCGTCAAAATCAGATCACATCAAATGACCGAGTGGATCGAGTACGTCCCACTGTTACAGCTGATTTACCAAGCGATGGAACGGTCCGGGTGCCTCTGACTTCTGAATCAGATCAACGGGATCGAGTTCGGGCATCAATGTTTATAGACCAGCCGTCAGTCTCAGTTGCTCCCATTCCACGTTGGGGATTGTTCGTACATTGTTTACATGACCATCATGGACACAAGAAGACCTTCACTAGTGATCGAAGACTACCCGGACCTAGACCAAAGGTTACGACTCGCATTGGACGGCCTCCTTTGACTGTTGAAATTATTGAATTTTTACACCCTCAGAGTGATCAGATTTCTTTTTGGACGCTACCCACCACTGCCACATTTTGCTGTGATTGTATTACTTTAGAACAACCTGAGAAATCACCTTGGTGGTTCCTATATCAGTGCATGGGCCGCATTCGTGAAGAACTCTATCAAGATCCTTACCGTATCAAGAATGCATATGAAACTGGTGCACTCACTTTGGCAGTTGACAAATGGACGCCATCTTTGACATATTTTCAGCAACAATACTCTTTTCGAACTATTGACTCGATTGCGCTGTTAAAACAACAACTTATGACTGACCATATGCAGATCCTCAAAGATGAGTATTCCGCCAAGTTTGAAAAATTCTCTTTAATCATCCATTCCGCACTCGAAGTATTGATCTCTACTCTCCTTCTACATTCTGAAGTTTGGGCTTTCGTGGAGTGCATCGACTTACTCTTTGATCACCAGAATCAGTCTCTTGTGGCCATTGTCGCTCGCTTGGAACCAGTCGTTTTTACACAAGAACCAGAAATTCCTGCTGCAGAATACATATGTTACGCACACAACACGAATCCACAATCTGCTGCAGACAGTTTGTTCCATGGGTATATCAGACCATCATCCACTGACCCACAAGACGAAACATGGATCCCGGCATTGACCTTTTTCTGTCGTGGCGTTACTGTGGCAAGACCTGTTATGACCAGATCAGTGATGCTCACAACCTTGAGAAAGGCACAGAAATATTCCAATTTTACCACTGATCGTCCTACATGTTTGCTCGGTATGTCTAAATCAAGACAACCACATGTGACCAACGTTCTCGGCGGTGTTATTGGAGAACATGCTTGTACACACTATTTTGACAGTGTACATGGACGTGACAAACGTTGGGGTCTTCGTTCTCATTTGAGTCCGCTTAGCCATTTAGCTTGTATCATCCCATCATCATGATCAATGATCATGGAAGTCACACAATTTTGTTGCGCTCCATAGATCAAAAGCTGCGCTCTGTTGTATCACTTTTTGAGCGGTTTCATTTATCAAGCCATCTCTTCATGAGTCATTTCAGATTTCGTCCAAGTCACCTTTTTGTGAGTTACAGTCACATACGTTTGATGTTTTTCCCAGTGATGATTTCGAAATCAAGAGTATTTACATTTTGTTAAGTCTAATTCAGCTGCTGTTTTTCTTGAGTACTACAATTTGACTTGCATCAAAATTGTCTGGTTCTGTTCAATTTTTCATTACTGTTTTCCATGATTGGTATAATTCACAGTGGATCAAACCCGTCAGTAAGTCGTTCTTCAATCCGTTTGTGATCAGTATTTGGACAGATGCAGTCTCAACGCCGAGATTCTCGATCCAGATCTCGACATCGCAGTCGTGGACATCGTCGACACGAGTCTAAGGAATACCGTGATCGAAGACGACCGCTGTCCCGGACCCAAGACCTCAGTCGTGCACGATCACCAGACTTACCTGATTCGTGGCAATCCACACGAACCCATTATGACACAAAGACGGAGTATGGATTGACTTTTCCACGACATGTTGAGTCGACCAATTTTTCACGAAAGAACAATACAGCTGGCATTCCTATTTCTGATGTTAAGCTTGTCGACATTGTGTCCAACGGTCTTGAAAATTGGGCTTTGCGCCTTGTTGCCAATGGTAGGTATGTCGCATGTGAGATGTTTCGAAATCGCCTTGAAGCCACATTTTCTACCATGCTTTTTCGTGAACTCTACCGACAAAAAGACAATGTTGATTTTGCGAAGCTCATCCAGCATTTGTCTTCAGAACCAGGTGATTCTCAAGATTGGAAATCCAAGCTTTCAGGAATTGAGGCGTTGATTCAACAGACTGTTGATTTGTTCAAGACTTTGGCACCCAAAGATTCCAATCAATCATTGTTAGAAGAACTGGAAAGAATGAAGAAAGAGAACGCAGCTCTTCGTGCCAACCAAAGTCAAGTTCCTACTCAGGAAGGATCACAGACTCAGAACACTGAGGAACCACCAGGCGGAACACTCCCATCCATGTTTCGTCAATCAGCAATAGAGGAACTCAGACGCCAAAAAAGTCAGTCGATGCCAAGTATGCCGGGAGCCCAAGATGACCGTTCTCCACTCTCACAATATCGACGTGGACAAAACGCACCCATCTGAGGCACACACACACCCAAACATACCATGACTGAACTCGACAAGTGGATCAAGAACAATGTTCCTAAGACGGAACAAGTCAATGTTGATGCCATGTTGAAGACCATTACTGACGAATACAATCAGTTTCCAGCCTCTGAAAGACCAAATTTAGAATCGATTCTTTCAGATTGGGGTCTCCCCAGTACAGTACTGGCCAAAACAAAGGCGGAATACAATTTGAAGGTTTTGGCCGCCGTTCAATTCCTTCGAAACTGACATTTTGGATTACAAACCAGTGAAGTAAGTCCTCCATCATCATGGGGGCAGCCATTTCGCAAGTATTCCAAGCATATGCATGGTGCAGAGACAACGAAGCTTGCCTCACATTTTCAGTCGCTGTGGTTTGCTAGCATCCAATTCATGATTTACACTTTGCAATTTTCTCCAGCTTTACCATGGCATGTACAGGAACGGATCATGTGGATACTTAGTGTTTGGACCATTTTTGCTTACATCATTCGACCTTTTTCAGCCAAAAATCGACGTCTTCTGACTATTTTGCGGCAGTGCGAACTTCCAGAAATTTTGTCATGGACATGGTGGAACAGGTCGAGCATCGTGTACTGTCGTTTACATTTTCGAAATGCTCAGTTTTACATTGGCTCCACTGAACAAACCATGTTTTCGAGAGAACAGAGTCGGTTACGAAAATACCGACAGTTAAAGAAAGACCAACTTGCTTACTACGAACCAGCTTTGAAGGCCTGGTCAGCACAACGCAACTATTTTCAATTTATTGGTTTTCCTTTACTCCAGACTGACGTTGACAAGCTTCTTGCAGTTGAAACAGCATGCCAAAGGACTTTTCGCCCCATTTACAATTGGCCTTGGATCAATCCTTTGATGAAACAACTTCGGATTGGTAAGCAACAATTCGGACCTTCAACTTTGAAGACCAGTACTCAAGGGATGAAATTTGTGAAACGATTTCGCAAACGCAGTCTGCAAACTGCTCAATGCATTCTTAGTCGTCGGATTACGGATACTACAAGTTTGTACATTTTCCTGTATTCCCTTGGTTCTGACACGCATGACAAGTTCATTTGTTCTCGCATTCTACGTTCGAAGTTGTCAAATGTGCAGTTGATTTTCTTGTTATGGCGCTTGAGCCACCATATGTCGGAACCTTTTCGGACCAGAGCACAATCTCAATTGCGTTATATTTTCAAATTCTATGCTACTGAATCGCCACCAGCGAATATACCCATGCAGTTACAGGTTTCGTCGGATACAATGGAACGTCGATTTCGACAATGGTTGCTGGGATTCACTCACCATCATCGCTGTAACTTTCCCATTTTTCACAAAGTTCGTGCACCGTTTGTGACAGTGAAAAATCGAACTTTAGCTCAATATTTGTACAATTTTCGTTCTTTTCTAAAGTTGTGGACACCTCAGTTTCGCCCTCAGTGTGCTTGTCAGTTGTTTCCTCTTCATGTTCAACACAATCCACGGAAAACAGATCATATTTCATCCTTCGCCTCGGAATGTTTTCCACTTGATCCTATTCTGACTGCACATTTGGAAGATGAAGTTACACCTACGTGGACACATTTTTTCCATCAAAACACCTTCCAATTTGAAAAATGGTTACGACGTTGGAAACTTCGCCGAGATCTGATCCAGTATTGGCAGGCTTTTCTACAAGACTGTTGGAATTTGCAACTTGATTCAGGTCAGTTGTACACTCAAAAACGTATTCGACAGGCTCGACAAAGGATCGACGGACTTATTGCTTCCCCAGCAGATCATTTTCCATCGTCTCTCACCTTACATTGTCCTGTCCAGTGGCACAATTTGCTGTGTAAGACATTTCAAGACACCTCTGTTTTTCATCTTTGTAATGTTGATTCAGCCACTATTCTGAAGAATATTCAGTATGATCTTCCTGGATGGATCACTGACAGATATCCTTGGGCTTTCGATTTTCATTTATCATTAAGCAAGGCGTATATTCTTCCAAAACCGTCACGCTCGTTTATGAAAGCACGACCCATCGTTAATTACAGTCGATCTTGGCCAAAACAGATGGGTTATATTTTGTCTGTGGTGTTGCAAGATATTTTGAAAGTTGTTTATCCATCCTTACTTCGCTACAGTGATATCAACAAGGTGATGAACGAAATCAAATGCTTTTTCCAAATTGATCATGGTGCTGACCTTCTCTTTCAGACTGATATTGCTGGTTTCTACAACCAAGTTGAACATGACCGCATTCTCGGATCTATTGAATTCGCCATTCATCAATATATTTTACAACATGGACAGACCTTCGATTCTGTACTTCAAGCACACGTATATCAACATGAACGCACCCTGCGAGTTTTTAGAGGTCAATGGCGACAACACACCAAGATGTATCGTGATATTCGCTTGGGCGACATTCTACCTATTTGTAGCTTTCTGTTGAATCACAGTTTTTTCACCGTCGGAATGTCTACATTTTTACAAAAACGTGGTGCCAGCATGGGTAGTCAATGGGCACCTATTTTCTGTGCAGCTGTCGCACTCATGCGAGAACATACTTTTCTGTCCTGTTTTCGTCAATTTACCAACAATTCCACTTTTCATCATCGTTACGTTGACAATCGAGTGATGCTACTTCCTGTGGGACACTGGAACTCAGAAATGCAGTTATTTTGGAATCTTTCATTCTATTCACCTCCCATTCTACTTGAACAAGTTGAAGGATCTGAATTGTTAGGATACAACGCTGACGTGTTACAGCGTACAACTACATATCTTCAACCTGTGGACAAAGCGTTTCGTTCAACAAGGAGTTCAAGTACGACTAAGGCACTCACGTCCGGAGCTCTGGCCAGAATTCGTCTCATTTTGCAGAAAACATGGCCCAGTTCTCTACAAATACCTCAAATTCAAGATTTTCTGTCCATTTGGTCTCGACGACAACGTGATGTATTGTCTTCTACTTTGAGAAGTCAGATTATCAAATTGGTACGCTCACGTCATCCACAACTTGATCCTGATTCTCTTTTTCACTTTGACTAGATACCATGACAGGAAACGCAGACAAAACAGTTGCTGGATTTCGCATTGTCGTGTTTTGTCGTCATTCGCCATCACTTTCGTGAAGTCATTTGATGTTGGACATTTTCATCAATGGGCATTCTTTGACGTTTTTCATCTGAAGTTCGATAACGTCACACTGTTTTCTTCTTTTTCATTTACCTTTTCAGTTATGTTCATGTTGTGTTTTTCTCAACTCAGTTGTTTTCATCATACTTTTGCCGATTGCGAATCTTGACTTTGACAGTTCGAATCACACGTTTTTGAATTTTGAAGAGTATATTTAAGCTCAAACTCAAACCAATCTATCTCCTTCTTACGATGCCTTCGTTGCGTGAACTTAGCAATACTTTGGAACAGTGGTCCCTTCGGAAACGTCTCACCGATCGCTCCAGATCGCCAGTTCGGGAACCCTATATTTGTGATGGTCAGACACGTTCGAGTATCAAGAACGCTTCAGTTGAGTCTCGTTTCGAAAATGAAAGTGAACGATCCAGATCGCAAGTCCGGGAGCCCTATAGTTATGATGGTCAGACACGCTCGAGTATCAAGAACGTTTTGATCGAGCCACTTTCTGAAAATGCAAGTTCTACATCACATCGACGTCAAGATCGGTCTTTCACTGCAGCTGATGGTTCATCTGTTCAGTCCTCGTTCCCTTCAACCGATCGTTTTCAGAAGAGTCGCTCTCCAACGGGAACGCAGTCCGGACCCTTATTCTGTCCCAAGGAGACCATTTGATTTACAGTGAACCTTTCCCATATGTTGTACAAGAATTTCTAGGACATGTATATATTGCAAACTGATACTGCGATGAAAAACAGCGTTCACCAGCAGCTGCCTCCCCTGCCGGGGGGGCCATTGTGTGTGTGAAATCCGCTATCACTCATGCGGACCTGAGTTTCTGTTAACAAGTTGATTCAAACAATCCATCAGATGCAGGGGCGTGCAGCACCTTTGGCATACTGCACGCAACGAAGCTATTGCCATTGGTGGGAAGGGGAGACTGATCACCTCCCTGTACCTGCAGAAGTTGGTTTTGAACTGTTGAACAAGCTGTCCATTTTCATGCGTATATGTTGCTAATTTGAGATTATCTCAGAAATCAGAGTTTCCCACTGCTTTCCCCACTCGACTGACCAGGATTTTGGACCTAGGAACCCTCAAGGCATGAACTACTTCATCACTATAAAGTTCCTCATTCGAGTAATGTTACTCAGTAACATGCTCCCATCAGCAGTGTGTGAGGTCAATGTTGTCAATGTTGGGCTTGGCAGAATTATGAAGCTGCACAGACTCCAAAATTGTGGAATCTATTTGGTGATTTCAATACAATGCTTAATTATAGTGTTGTGATTATATATACCTAGACCCTCCAGAGAAAGTACTAAGATTATGGGGTAAAACACGAGTTTAAGGGTACTTGGAGGGGTATATGATGGTATATGGAATTTGGGAATTTTGTATGATTAAATCATCTTAAATCCATGGATTTTTCACCTGAGGATCACCTCATGCACGAGAAGGACCTACAAATTGCCCCTTGCCAGCCAGGACGAAAGCGACCTGGAGCTTGTGATGTATAAACCCATTTTGTGCAATGTGTTTAGATGAGGATACATGTGACATAATTTTGTGTGCATCACGTATAAGAATGTATCACATATATATATATATATGTATAATACATATATAGTGTATGAGTAGTCTATATGATATGTAGTAATATGTAGTAGTCAATTAATCATATATATATATAATTACATATATATATATAGAAATAGATATGTATTTTATGTTTCTGCCAATCTATTTCTACGCCTGAAACGGTTGTCCCGCAAGCCCTGGGGCCGTCAGTCACGAATCAATTTTTCATCGTGAGCCTCTCGAGGTTTGTCCATCCCGAGCTGGATATGGGTGGGTTACACCGTCTATCAATGGGTTTGACATGGGTTTTACCATCTATAAATGGCGGTATAATGGTGATATTTTCATTCAAAGGATGGAATCCATGGGATATGCAAGATTGGTTGGGAATGATTGCATCCAGCATGGCCAACTGGCAAATGAGCTGCCTAAAGGAGGGTTGAATGGGAACTCATCGCACTAAATGGTTGATTTTCCAGCCGTGTTTGATCACCAGCTGGCAGTGATGGATAGGTAGACAGACCAAAAAAGTCTCTGATGATCCATTGCAGTGCTGGATTTATACAGTTTTTTTGTTGCAAAATATCACTGCGAGAAGGAACCCAGCATCCTCAACCTGACAAGGACCCTGATAGCCCAAAACCAGTTGATTTCATTTTGCTTCATTTTTAAAAAATACTGATCAGCATCATGTGGCCTCAGTCTTATCATCAAATTTATCAAGTCACTGCCCTTGTTTAGGACTTGGGATCCGCCTGGGCCACGGCCCACGGGCCACGCTGTGGCCTCGTCAGGTCCATGCGATGCAAGAACTGTCCACCAATGCCATCATCAGCCGCTGGTAATGTTGGGGATGGGCACCCAACGTTGATGGGTTGGGGGTTATACAACCTTGATCTACCTGGATTGGTGATGATAAATGATGAATTATAGTCCGAATATACTTGGATAATGACCATCATATAGGGGTTTCATATATGAATTTCATCAGTTCATCACAAAAAACCATCAATATTCCAGCAATATTCCAGACATATTCCATATGATTACCATCAGTTATAGTCCTACAGTATGACCCCCTTTGTTGATGATGTTGATGGGTATCCCATCCCCCGAGGTTTGCCTGTGGCTGCCCGGGACATCATCTTCCTCGGAGGACGGTGTTTTGACGTGACGTAAAGGTGAGCAGAACTATCGACGGCAAAGATTTGCTCGGAAATCCCAAACGAAATGGTCATCTAAATGGGAAAACTACATATCATATATATATAATATGTAATATACATATGCATATAGATAGATGGTGGGATTTTCCAGCAAATGTTTGATTGCCAGAGGCTCAGAGGGTAGATTGATTGAATAATTGCTTACATATTCATGTTTTGTGTGAGCAACCCTCAGTAGTTGCGCAGGAAACTTGGCCGCAAAGACCTATTTGATTCTGAGCGGCGAGTTCGTGTACTACCACGAGAAAGGGAAGGCCAGCGGGCCATGGACCTAAGCTTGAACATTTCGATCTTTTGTAGCTACTCAGAGATGGAGTTGCAACATGGCAATATAAAGACGGTATGTCCCTCCTATAAACTAACATAGATGTGGAAAACCCACCATTTGTAGATCATAGTCTACCCCAGGCTAAATGGTGTTCCATGGTGTTCCTTTCCACTTAGAGCAGATGTTGCGTCAGACGTCTAAGTTGGGATCAATCGGAAGCACGTGGAAACTCCAAGCCAGGTGATGTTGGACAATGATGCGGGCTGGATTGCAGAGATCCTTGGCGCGGCCGCTGTTTCTTGCGAGTCGGGCGAGCGAAGTTTGTGAGGTTTGCTGCACTATATGGAGAAAACCATCTGCTTTGGTCGATCAATGCTGTTTTTGGTGGACATACTTGGAACAGATCATCGAACATCCATCCTCCCAAAATTGACTCTGTTTGCAAGGGAAAAATTGAAGATAACCACAGGGGATAGGTTGGTCCCAGCCAGTGTTGACGTGCGGCTTAGTGATGAGCTGCAAAGATTTCTCAAGGATGTGCCTGTGGACGCCTTGGGTTTACCTCGGAGATCTCTTGGCGCGAGATGTGCCTTGGTTGCCATTTTGCGCGGAACATCTGGAATTTAGCCCACATTTTTTTCAGACGGCATTTTCGAATTTGCTGTGGTTTCTGGATCGGTTGGCGAAGTTAGACATGAAATGATATGCATTTGATGATACTTTATGGACAGGAACCATGGGTTGGGACCTGAGCAGAATGCACCAAAAGGAGTTTTTTTGGTGGCACTGCTTGGTTCAAACGTTTGTTCTATCCCAATTTGGGACGACAAACCAGTTGACCCCCTGGAAAAATCGCTTGGAATTCCTCACATGGATTTGGTACAAACCATTTTACACCGTTTTATTATACTGGAAATGGCCTGCTTGAGTTCCATGCATAGAATTCTCGGATGTAGTCTGTCTTGTCGCCGGAAATTTCACATCACTCAACTGCAACAGCGACATTCGCTGCAGGTGTCACGCATCGTGTGTTTGGATGCCGCCATGTTTGGTCAAATTTTGAGCTGCTGAGCAGCAATGGTCTCTCCCATCCTATCTCCATCCTTTCCGGTGTCGGGGAGAAGTAGAGAGGCTGAACGTTTGCACTTTGCAGTCCCTGGAGTCCCTGGAGGTTGTAGGCTGTGGAATGGTGTAGGTAACCATACCATGTCAGGAGAGGCCAGGTCGTACAGTATCCCATTATCGATGCTGCAGGTCAGTGTGGACCAGCGCAGGACTCGTAGTCAGATGGGGCCAGTGTCTTCAGAAAAGTGGCGATGACTGGTAGTCCCACACCATCCCACTATGAATATTATGCAGCAGATTGATGCGTTGAACACTCGCAATCTAGGAGACACTGTGGAGTTACATGAAGTATTATGAAGTATTAATCTCTTCCCCCTAATACTACCCCCCCCCTCCCCAAATTACAGGTATTACAGGATCACTTTTCAGTGATGAACAATCACAGAATCACAGGGCTGTGGCCGGCCGGCAGGTGACCTGGCACCCCTGGGAAAGGGAGCGATTGGTGGCTATTGAGGGGCTGGTCAACTCTCGTTTGATCATGATTTTGAGACTTATGCGATGATCAAGTCATGACTCAAATGACTTAAATAACTATTTTAGCTGACTAGCTTCGACTAGATCATATGAAATCTAACTTTTGCAGGTGATTTTTCAAAAAACGTCGAGATGTGTTGCACAGAGCTGGACCTGGCAGGAATACGCCAAAGAGTACTCCCGGCATTTTATCCAAGGTATGAGACGGAAGAGGTGCCTCCACGGCTCCTTATAAGAAACATGGGACGACTTCAATGGGATCTTTTCAGGATAGACCGTTATAGATTTCCAATATTGGACAAACTATGAGCGTAACAATTACTCTAAGAATTCTACGACATTATATGACAATGGATTGGTTGATGGGATGGATAGGATATAGATCTCCATATTGGTTGAAGATGTTGAAGGGAAAATCATGGAAGAAGAGGGGAAACTGGATCCCCCAAAGATTACTTTCTCGGAGTGGGGAATGTGGCTGGCAGCGCCAGCAATCAAGGCAAGACTTGGAGAGGTTATAGGACAAGAATGGACAAGACACATTATAATTTTTATAGTATGGCAAAATTGGGGATATGACATATTTACATACGTATATTTACCATGGTTTACCATGGTTTACCATGGTTTACCATGGTTTACCTGCATATAAAATACGGGACATTTTCAGCTTTGGAGTGTGTTTGGTTTCAGCTTTGGTTTCCCCTGGGTTCCTCGGAATCGTCAGCAGGTACTGGACGGATTTGGTGTCTGACGAAGACATTTCCAACATGGAGGAGGAGCGCGCGAAGCAGGTGATGAGATCATGGAGGTCATTCAAAAACAATTAAAAACGACTATAAGCAGCTGACTATTGATGATAATGAATAGATAGTCTGATAGTCTATAATATGTTCGACTTCAGCGGTGATATACTGCACAAATTGGTGCCCCCTACTCAACTAAGGTGGCTTATAGCTAGGCAAACTAGGGCTGATAGTAGATACATCTTTAGTTGGATGGGTTTATGAGTGTATGTGGGGGTATAAACAAACAAACGTAGCTGGGGAGGCACCTTTTGATGTACCGGTAATCCAGCGTGGCCGCTTGCGTCTGGAGCTCTGAAATAGTCACGGCAGTCGTCTTGGCATGGCGATTTCAAAGAATTTCAAAGTCCTTGCCATCTCCATTTGATGTTCTTGTTGGATTGTATTTCCGTTCACATATGTATATATATATGCATATATTATATATATACTAACCTATGTTGGCGGCTGACGCCGGCACTCATTGTCTCTGGTGTCCCCAAGTGCCAGCAGAGTTGGAGATACAGTGGATGGTTTCGAAATCCTGCTCCAGTTGATAGGTGATAAACATCCCATTATATTTAGGGCTTCAACTATTGAAGGTGGTGCAGGATTTCTTCCATCCACAGTATTTTGCTATTGATGTGATTGATGTGTGCCGCTTTTCTGTCTTTGATGTGTTCCCAGGTCCTTTTGTTTGCAAGGGGTACTGGGAGATGCAGTTCCACTTAACAAGTGTGTTTTGTTCAGCCATGGTTTATGCCATGATTATAGGGGTTAGGCCCCAACTTAATTATGATGGCTGTAACATGTTGCAACCCTGGTTCTAGCGATTACCCTCTGGTTTTTTAACGTAGCAAACTGGACATTCACAATATTTTTTTGATAGGTAAATCATAATCATCATCATCATCATCATCATCGTCATCTAATAAATATATATATATACACAAATATGCATTAATATTTCTATAAACGTCCCATTTCCCATAGCTATGTAAAATAACCGGAGGGTCGAATCCACAAGGATAGCACCCCGTTGAAGCCAAGTCCCAAGGATCTAACCACCTTTTCGGTCCTCGTGAGGACGACAGTAATGTGAATCACTTACCGACGCTCGGGAAGAGTAAGGCCAAGGCCAGGGATGTTCATGTGTGCAAGCCCAAACCCTACCATTTGGATCCATTTGGGGGATAGTTTGATATAGTTTAAGATTTTAAATATGAATATATTATAATGTAATTTGTTTCAAGATATCGTTTAACATATTATATGTCATGTAAATATGGTTTTGTTTGAAAATAAGGTTTACCTTCAAGTGACCACTTTCGAAGGAAGTTTAGAAGTCAAACTTCCGACAATATGGACAGATGAAAAGCAGAGATGGGAAGAGTCAGAGAAGAGAAGAGAAGAGAAGAAGAAAGAAGATCAAAAAAGAGAAAGCCTCAGAAGAAAGAAGATCCAGGTGTGAGAAAAGGTAGGAAAATCGCGAAACGCTGTGTTTTTCCAATGATTTGTGGCTCCGGAGGGTCGAAAAGTAGGCTCGCTAAAGCGGCGGGTGCAGAGCCAGCTGGCCAGTTGAGATGAAAAATTGCACGCCGTTGTGGCGCGACGCAAATTTCCAAGTCAAAATGCTCAAAACACACCATGTTCGGATCACTTTTGGAAGTTGAAATGTCGAAAATCAGGAAGTCTTGCAGAATTGCTGCGTTTTTGATGTTGTCAAGTTCAACAACTGAGGAAGTCTCGCAGAATAGCTTCGTTTTCAAATTTGCAGATAAATAGATAGATAGATAAAGATAGAGATAGATGGATAGATAGATAGATGGATAGAAAGATAGATAGATAGATGGATAGGTAGATAGATAGATAGATAGATAGAAAGAAAGATAGATAGATAGATGGATAGATAGATAGATCGATAGATCGATAGATCGATAGATCGATAGATCGATAGATCGATAGATCGATAGATCGATAGATCGATAGATCGATAGGTCGATCGATAGATAGATAGATAGATAGATACATAGATAGATAGAGAGATAGAGAGATAGAAAGATAGAGATTGTGTCTGGCCCATTGTCTGTAACAGCTTTCACAAGCTAGAGCACGATTTTTGCACGAAGGAGAACACCAAAGAGCACGATCTAGAGCACGATTTTTGCACGGAGGGGAGCACCAAAACAGCACGATTTAGAGCACAATTTTTGCACGGAGGGGGGCACCAACTAGCACGATCTAGAGCACAATTTTTGCACGGAGGGCAACACCAAAACAGCACGATTTTTACACGGAGGGGAGCATCAACGAGCACGATCCAGAGCACGATATTTGCACGGAGGGGAGCACCAAAGAGCACGATCTAGAGCACGATTTTTTGCACGAAGAGGAACTCCAAAACAGCACGGTCCAGACCACGACTTTCTGCACGAAGCAGAACAATTTTCACGGAGCCAAAAAGCACGAGCTAGAGCACGATTTTTGCACGGAGGAAAACACCAAAGAGCACGATCTAGAGCACAATTCTTGCACGGAGGGGAACATCAAAACAGCACAATTTAGAGCACGATTTTTGCACGGAGGGGAGAACCAACGAGCACGATCTAGAGCACGATTTTTGCACGGAGGGGTGCGCCAAAGAGCACGATCTAGAGCACGAGGAGGGGAACACCAAAACAGCACGAATTAGAGCACAATTTTTGCACGAAAGAAAATGGGAAAAATGCATGAAATTCCTTGTGCTCCTTTGAAGAAGTTTTCATAGGAAATCTTTTTTCCAACTGCTACAGAGGTTAGGCTACACCCAAGATAGAGAGATAGAGAGATAGGGAGATAGAGAAATAGAGGGATAGATAGATTGATTGATTGATGGATGATAGATTGATAGATTGATAGATGAATAGAGAGAAAGAGAGATAGATAGATAGATAGATTGATTGATTGATTGATTGGTTGATTGATAGACACATAGGTACATAGATACATAGATACAAAGACACAAAGATACATAGATGCATAGATACATAGATACATAGATGCAAGATACATAGATACATAGATAGATAGATAGATAGATAGACAGATAGATAGACAAATACATAGACAGAAAGACAAATAGAGAAACAGTTCTACACATAGACAGATAGATAGACAACTGCAACTGCACTACACCACACTACAACTACAAGTACAACTACACCACCACTACAACTACAACTTCAACTACGCTACAGCTGCAACTGCGGCTGCAACTGCAACTACAACTTGAGCTACACTACAACCACACTTCAACTACAACTTCAACTTCAACTTCAACTACATTACAACAACAATTACCACGACACTACACTACAACTGCAACTACAATTACAACGACTGCGCTACACGCAACATCCAGGAGCTGTGAGTGAGGTGACCACTGCAGCCGTTGCAACCACTCCAAAAAGCACAGCTCCAACCACCTTTCTGTCCATAAGTGGGCTCGCTCTGCCATCCATGCATCACAACTTTTCACCTCTCGTTTAGTGTCCTATCTTTGAAACTTCCGCCACCGCCTTGTGCGGTACTACTGGTACTAGGGATAATGATGATTGATCAACGCCCAAATATATTCATGTGGGCAAGCCAATAAAACACCTACCATTTGGGGATAGTCTATACGACCCATCTATGGTGATTTTGGGGATGGTCTATTTTTGGGTTTACCACATGGATCATTAGAAAGATTTGGTATGGCTTCAATCTGACTCCTGAGTTCCAAAAGTAAAATCTGTGTTTTTGGTAGAGTCAAGACTGCGTTTAACAAAACGAGTTGTAAATTTACCACATGTTCAAACTGCCGGTCACCGTCAGGTCACGCCATGGTGGAGATGGTGTTGGAGGTCGAATGCCATCGCTCCGGAGAAGCCGAACAACTAGGCGGGCGCATCGCCATCAGGAATGGGAGTTGAACACATGAACATGTGGGTAAACCTGGTATTTTTTCGTAGTTTTATGCGTGTTTGACTTCACATAGGCAAAGTGGGCAATGTATATATGTATATTTATTTTTAGGTATTTAAGTATGTAATATACTGTACTTAATGTCACGTAATGTAAGGTAATGTAATGTAATGTAATGTAGTGTTAAGCAATGTATGCAATGTATGCATTGTATGCAATGTATGCAATGTCTGCAATGTCTGGAATGTCTGCAGTGTATGCAATATATGCAATGTATGCAATGTATGTATGTAATGTAATGTAATGTAATGTAACGCAATGTATGCAATGTATGTATGTATTGTAATGTAATGTAATGCATTGTAATGTATTGTAATGTATTGTATTGTAATGTATTGTAATGTAATGTAATGTAATGTATTATGATGTAATGTAATGTAATGTAATGTAATGTAATGTAAGAATGTAATGTAATGTAGCGCAATGTAATGTAATGTACTGTAGTGTAGTGTAATATAATGTAATGTATGTATGCGTGTATGTAATGTAAGTATGTATTGCAATGTATTGCAATGTATTGCAATGTATGATTGTATGTATGAATGTATGCAAGTATGTTTGTACGTATGTATGCGTGCATGCATGCATGTATGTATGTATGTAAGTATGTCTTGTAATGTATTGCAATGTATTGCAGTGTATTGTAATGTATTGTAATGTATTGTAATGCACTGTAATGTATTGTAATGTATTGTAATGTATTGTAATGTATGATTCTATGTATGTATGAATGTATGCATGTATGTATGTATGTATGTATGTATGTATGTATAAATGAATGTATGTATGTATGTAATGTAATGTTATGTAATGTTATGTTATGTAACGTAAGGTAAGGTAAGTAGGCATGTATGTATGTACGTAAGTATGTATTGTAATGTATTGCAATGTATTGCACTGTATTGTAATGTGTTGTAATGTATTGTAATGTATTGTATTGTAATGTATTGTAATGTATTGCAATGTATTGTAATGTATGTAATGTAATGTAATGTAATGTAATGTAATGTAATGTAATGTTATGCAATGTAATGTAATGTAATGTTATGTATGTATGTATGTTTGTAATGTAATGTAATGTAATGAAATGTAATGTAATGTAACGTGATTTAATGTAATGTAATGTAATGTAATGTATGTAATGTAATGTAATTTAAGTTAATGTAATGTAATGTATGTATATTTATATTACACATATATGTTATTACTTGTACAACCCAGTTGTTTTTGTCTATTTTTAGGGTATTGACGGTTAGTCATTAGATGATATTTTTGCAAAATGAACTAGACTATTGTTTTGATAGGTGATTTACCTATAAAAAATGGTGACGTTCCATAGATATGTTAGTGGGTTGCTCAATGCAGGCGGCAGACTGATTGAACTCACCGAGGGGCTCATTGTTGATTTCCTTCTGAGATGCCATGCATTTGGCCCTTTGCAGTTGCCCCATTCACGTAGACACCTGGTATCCTGCCGGTAAAGAGTTTCAAGGCGACATGTTTATCTCCTAGATATTGGACCTGGGTTTTGCGTCAGTTTACGAAAGTAGTTCCAACAGGTGGAAAATAGATCAAGATACTAGCTGCTGTCATTGTATGCAAATGATTGGTTTTGTCAACCGATGCGTTTTTCTGAAATTCATTTGTGGGAATCCAGGCATGCCATGGAAAGTGTCACATTGGCCATACACAACTATCACAACTGAGTTTTCGCCTTTAAGACAAGAAAACATGGCTGACATACGGAAAACGCGGCAAACAGCAGAGGGATCTTCCCGTTACCTGCCACTGCTGCATGGCAGAGCGATTCTGGAAGTCAGACCGGATTCGAGAACTGCTGGGCAGTGGCTGTAAATGGATGTGTCTGAAAATGGCTAAGCGCTCTTCTCGCCGGTAATCGCACAGCGCGAAAATTGCAAAACTTTTCGCAAAAAGTCAAAAAGTCAAAAAGTTTTCGACTTTTCGACTTTTCGAATTTTTTGAATTTTTCGAATTTTTCGACTTTTCGACTTTTCGAATTTTTCGAATTTTTCGACTTTTCGAGCAGAAATCTCCTGGAATGTGAACTTTTCGACTTTTCGAATTTTTCGAACTTTTCGACTTTTCGAATTTTTCGACTTTTCGAGCAGAAATCTCCTGGAATGTGAACTTTTCGAATTTTTCGATTTTTTCGACTTTTCGAGCAGAAATCTCCTGGAATGTGAACTTTTTCAACTTTTCGGGTGAAACTTTTCTACCACGGTTGGTGTTTTCAGCGAAAAGTTGCGTTTGAACCACCCAAACAATACACCAAACTGAGTACGCAAGGGTTCCTGTCTTATCATCTATCCTCCACCAGAAGGCAAGCGAGGTCCAGGTTTTGTGGATCGCGAAAATGCCTAGCCAGAAACCCAGAAAAAGGCCGCATCGATTTGGGTTGAGATGGGTAGTTGTTAGGATGTGTAAATAAAGTAATAATATACCCGGTAAGGCTACACATATAATACTATACCATGTTATTTTATATAATTTGACATTAAGTTGCATTATGCTACATTATGAAATATTTTTCTATAACACACAACACATCACAAAACCATATCATTCTATATGACATCCCATGATGTTACCGGTATGTTATAGTGCATTATTTTTTATTGCATTATAACTAAAACATATTATGTATAAACATATTTTACCTATGATATTATATCGTACCAGATGATATTTTACAATATTATATTATACTATGCTATATTATATTAGTTTATATTATATAGGATCTGTTATTATGTTTTAAGTTATTATAAAATATATTATTTATTGTTATATTATAGCATAATATTTTTTCATATATTATATTATATTATATTATATTATATTATAGTATAGTATAGTATATTATAATAATTTTATTTTATATCATATTTTTAAATATATGATATTGTATTATATTATGCTATATTTTTTTAGCGCTAGTCCATATATATATATATATATACTGATTAATATATACATTATCAGTATCATGATAACTCAGAACTATGCAACTGTTCCTTACTTATTTATTGTTATTATTTTATCAAGAACGCATACATGACTTTCAAAGTCCAGTTTTGTTGAATATGAAGTGCATTGCACATGTCATGTCCAAGCAAGATCAGTGGACTTTTATATATGTTGTTATTCTTTTTTTGCCACGCTACTGAAATTTCTCTTGAACTTTCCACGCGTACGTCATGCTACGCTACTGTAAGTTCCCTTGAACTTTCCATTCATGCGTCATGCTAAGCTACTGTAAGTTCTCTTGAACTTTCCATGCGTATGTCATGCTACGCTACTGTAAGTTCTCTTGAACTTTCCATTCATGCGTCATGCTACGCTACTGTAAGTACTCTTGAACTTTCCATTCATGCGTCATGCTACGCTACTGTAAGTTCTCTTGAACTTTCCATGCGTACGCCATGCTACGCTACTTTAAGTTCTCTTGAACTTTCCACTCATGCGTCATGCTAGGCTACTAAAAGTTCTCTTGAACTTTCCATGCGTATGTCATGCTACGCTACTGTAAGTTCTCTTGAACTTTCCATTCATGCGTCATGCTACGCTACTGTAAGTACTCTTGAACTTTCCATTCATGCGTCATGCTACGCTACTGTAAGTACTCTTGAACTTTCCATTCATGCGTCATGCTGCGCTACTGTATGTTTTCTAGAACTTTCCACGCATATGGCATATGTCATGCTACTTTCCACTCATGCCTCATGCTACGCTACTTTATGTTCTCTTGAACTTTCCACTCATGCATCATGCTAGGCTACTATAGGTTCTCTTGCACTTTCCATGCATATGTCATGCTACGCTACTGTAAGTACTCTTGAACTTTCCATTCATGCGTCTTGCTACGCTAGTGTAAGTACTCTTGAACTTTCCATTCATGCGTCATGCTGCAGATTTTCTGGAACTTTCCATGCATACGTCATGCTACGCTACCGTAAGATCTCTTGAACTTTCCATGCATACGTCATGCTACGCTACTGTAAGTTCTCTTGAACTTTCCACTCATGCCTCATGCTACGCTACTGTAAGTTCTCTTGAACTCTCCATGCATACGTCATGCTACGCTACTGTCAGATCTCTTGAACTTTCCATGCATGCGTCATGCTACTCTACTGTAAGATCTCTTGAACTTTCCGTGCATGCGTCATGCTACGCTTGTAGGTTCTCTTGAAGTTTCCACTCATGCGTCATGCTACGCTACTGTAGGTACTCTTGACCTTTCCATTCGTGCGTCAAAAGATGACGTAAAACATGTGACGTCGAATTAGTTTCAGAATCGGCAAAAAAACAAAAATGTTAGTTTCGTCTAGGCGAAATGCCTGCTTTGAGAAACTGCACCAGAATAAGGGGTTAACGGCCTTAAATTTCACATCAAACAAATTCCTATTTGCACGAGCGCATCAAATATGATCCATGACACCCCGTTGATCACAAAAAACCCACGGCCTTCTAGAGGCCGTGCTCCTTAGTTAGTAGTTGTAGGCAAAACTGATCAAAACCCTGTTGGTTGATCAGGGTCATGCTGCCCCATCCCTGTGGAATTCCTGCGACACAACCAGAAAGCCTCAGTTTGGCTGCGCCGAACACTGTTTCACTCCTCAAACCGGCACAGTAGCTGGAAACAAATCTTGAGACGCTTGGAGAGTGCTATTTGCCCCCTAAACTGGTAGCAAGATGTGGCAAGCTGAGTTGCATTGGCCTCTAAATTGGTTGCAACTCAAGACAGTTAGTGACAGCAGTGGCCCTGGTAGCCCTGAGCCAAATACCTGCTCAGCAATTCTGTGGGTTTTCAGTATCCAGCTTTCAAAACCCACAAAATCAACACAAAAAAATAGAGAAACCCACTAATTACATGAGCAACACAAAATCTAATCCTGATACAGATACACTGATTGCAAGTTTCCTGCTCCCCTGGAAAGTAACCAACCATTCGACCGGGAAAGAGCAACCAAACAACCATAAAAAACCCTGTGCGTGGATACTGCCTGTGCTCCAATGCCTCCAAAACCCACGGGGTTTATCACTCTTCCAGGGAAAATTTTCGCAAAAAATCAAAAAGCCAAAAAGTTTTCGACTTTTCGAATTTTTCGATTTTTTCGAACTTTTCGACTTTTCGATTTTTTCGAATTTTTCGACTTTTCGAGCCGAAATCTCCTGGCATGTGAACTTTTCGACTTTTCGACTTTTCGAGGGCAAACATCGTGATTTTCACGGTGTGACCGATACCAGCCAGAAGAGCACACAGAATGGGGGTTAACCCCAAGAAAGGTCGTCATTTTTCATATGATGATGAACCATAGGATTTTGCGGGGTTCCCGATTTTCAGACCCGGTCGGGCTGCGTCCCAATCGTCGTAGATTGAAACGCGCGAGCGAGGATGGGAACCGCGAGTGACTGTGAGTGTGAACTAAATCGCTGGAGGAGCATTTAACTAAGAACTCTTCTAAGATGAAATAAGGTGAATTACAACATGGCCAGCAAGCAAGATCTATCATCAGATTTGTTTGTTCCCCTTGTCAAACATCCAGCATCCAGTTAATTTATTATATAATTTACAGTATGTTAATGTGGGACATATGTGGTGGGTATGTACCATGATTGAAATACCTCAAAATCTCATGGGTGAGGTATTTGCAGTATCCCCATTGTTGGGGACATACCCTCTCGCAGTGAGGGGATGCTATAGATGCCTGAACAGTTTGGATAACCTACACCTGCTTCAAGATGTCTTGATATGTTTTGTATCAACATCCCAGGTGGAACCAGGTGCTATATGAATGTGTTTCCCAAACCATTTGAATTACCTTAAGGGCTATGATATATATATATATATATATATATATACACACACATATACATGTACATATTACTGGTATGTTTGACTGTTTGAAAGGGTTGGACGATTGAACCGTACGGTATTTACTAACAATATCCAACGATATGATGGATATGTGTATCAGCATTGCGGGCAAAGAACAGCCAGATACAGCCAGCATATCTCATCTATCCAGGTCTACTCTTGCATATAGCTAGTCAAAGTTACCATCCAGTCTCGTTCCGTGATGATTTTTTCCCATCCCTAAGGGATGGGCGTTGACCGGCGGGGATTCTCCAGGGGTGGTTTCCAGAATCTTCCATGAGGTCCATCAGAACCAGATTTTTGAGGATAGCAATGAGAAATATGTATGTAAAAATATATAAATGTATGTAAATCTTCTGAAAAATCAAGAGTAGACTTTAGGGCTTCGGCTAAAATTATGATTTCTGGCCAAATTTCAAGCCCTCCAGGGGGGCTCTTGCAAACCAGCTGGTTTCATTTAGCAGTCCATCTGGGATGACGATCCCAAGTGGCAACGAAAACTTGCAAGAGGAGTGGCAGCTTCAGCTGAGATGCTTGATGCCCGGAGAGTCTCTTCCAACGCTCTGAAAGAGCATGAA